CCCCCCCCACCCCACCGAAGGCATTGGTCCGCGCAACCATCTACGGAAGCTTACTTACTGCCCCAGCCCAACCCCCCCACCCCACCCTGAATGCAAGAGAACGCATCAACTGTCCACGCGTGCGATTGTTCACATTGCACCCTAGTTCGGGAATAGAAGTTTCTGAGCATGAGGAACAGTAGTTTCTGAATACGACGAAAATAGTTTCTGAATACGACGAAAATAGTTTCTGAATACGACGAAAATAGTTTCTGAATACGACGAAATAGTTTCCGAATACAACGAAATAGTTTCTGAAGACTAGTTTCTGAATACAGTGCAGTTTCTGAATCCGACTTTGTTCGCATCAATGCGATAAATAGGCAAGTAAATAGTAGGCCAATCACCACATACAAACAGCTTGGCACGATAGTCAACGCATCTTAAACCAGACTCCTCTCTCTCGCAACTTGACTTCAAATGGACTCGAAGCCCCGTGACTAGGACTAGGAGCACCTAGACGTGGTTCAGCATACCATCAATCCACATTGCTGCCACGCTGCGTCTTATAGCCAGCTGCATTGATGAGCCAAAGAAGCGTCAGCAAGAGACTAGTGCTTTCGTAGGACAGCATAATGATCACCTCAGTGACGGAACCAAACACAGAACACGCTAGGGAACATCGACATCCATGTTGGCCTTCATCCCCGCAAATATACATCAACTGTACATCAGTCCTTGCCACAAGACCATTTTGTCCCGCGCAACTTCTGGATGTCCTTGCCCCATGTTCCCCGCTACCTTTGACATCCATGTTGACCTTCATCCCTCAACAGGCTCAGCTTCGCTGATCTGTAGCCATTTTTCCACCCTTGGCTGCGTGTCAAAGTGATATGTCTATGTCTATATATATATATATATAATACACATATATACAGTATACAGTAATAAGAATCAACTCAATCGCCTCACGCACACTCTCGGCCTCCAATCTACTAGCGATGGCCTCCATAGTATATAACTAGTAGCGATGGCCTCCAACCTATCAATTGCTGACTGGCTGCGCCAGCAACCGCTGGCCATGGCGGAGCCATAGCCCAAATAATTTTGACTTGCTGAACGCAAGAAGCCGTGGCGTCAGATGATCTTTGTCTCGGCAGTATTCGGTGTTATACCGGGCGTACTCCGCCCGGTGCGTGCTGCCTCAGGCAACAGTTGCGTTGGCCATCGCTATCAAGTTTTGGAGGCCAACTCTACTAGGTTTGGAGGCCTTGGCTATCAAGTTTGGAGGCCAACGCTATCAAGTTTTGGAGGCCAACTCTACTAGGTTTGGAGGCCTTGGCTATCAAGTTTGGAGGCCAACGCTATCAAGTTTTGGAGGCCAACTCTACTAGGTTTGGAGGCCATCGCTATCAAGTTTGAGATGTCCTCAAGGCGAGACGCTGTTGCACTTTGGTGAGTCTGATGCCGCTGCACGTCTCTCAATGGGCTTCTTCGGGCCTCGTGGTTTGCCCGACGGCCAGCCTCTCGTAGCTCGCTGGAGGGTAGGTTTTGGCTTACTCCTAGAGAGTATTGCCATCACCCCCCTCCTCTATAGATAGAGGATCAAGCTTCTTCTCGTCAATGTATCTGTGTGTCATGGTGATGCATCTATGGCCTGGTCGTCACAACCAGGTGCGTAAGCCGAGACCTTCTGAACGAGTGTCCTGGCAAACGTTTGCAGTAGTACCTGCCCTCATCTGTCATTGAGAGCACCTTCTTCATCGCCTTGACGGCGTGTTCCGTCACCAACCAATTGGGAGTCCTCGGGCAGTAGACATTTTTGGGCTTCCTGTCACCATGGCAGTCGCATTGTCTGAGGTCGCAACCACGGGCCATCCGTTTCCAGAATTCCGTGGTGCTGTTTTTGGACCCGCATTGCCCTGCATATCAAAGCATTATGACACGGCTGTGGATGTAGAGCTACCGCGTGGCTATGGGCAACTTGGTGAGATGTCAGATATCACATCATATCATATGATATCACACCCCCTTTGCGTGTTCAAAAACACACGTGTCCAACCTTTTGTCATGCCCTGGCAAACAAGCTAGGGGCAGTCAATCATGCCGGCAGTGCTTCAGCTTGTGTCGTTCATAATCACAGGGAAGTTTCACTGTGATGTCCACCTTATCTGACAAACAGTGTTTTTCTTTTTCATGTGCGTTCCATGGAGGATGCAGCCCGCTGACAACTTTCTAGGGATGCAGCCCGCTGACAACTTTCTATCCTCTTGGTGGTATCGTCCTGAAGCTGCTTAGTCCTGAGTTTAAACCAACATGCTGAAACAGAACGAGCAACCAAAACCAAACATGCTGAAACAGAAGCTAAGGCTAAGAAACAGGCTGGAACCGTCGCATTGCCATATAGTTATCGCTGCTGGCATCTTCCTCTGCGCTGAAGTCCTCCGGCTTCGATTCCAGGACTTCCGTCATTCGAGCGCACCACAGATAGCTGTGCCACGCAATGCGACCCAGGCGGACGTCGCCAGCTGCCAGTAATAGAATGATCTCAGCCATTTCCTGATCACAGTTTTATTCGGACATTTTAGGGTGTTCTTCGTTGTCACTGCGTGTACAAACAATCCGATTGTCCTCTGGTTCGAAGGTGTCAGCCTTTTTGATGAGTGGTTGGGTCGTCATGGATCTGGCCTGCGGATCTTACAGTTGTGTGGAAACTAGTGAAACACAAAGCGTCTTATTGACACAATCATGTTGAGCGGCCTTATTTCTCCTCTCGTGCATTTCTTGAGCAGATGTCTTCTTTTTCTTCTTCAGCAATTGTCCTTCTTCTTCAGCCTTTGCTGTCTTTTTCTCAACCCTCTTCTTCTTGAACCACTTCTTCGCCATTGGAGCCGTGTTGTATTGTCTTGCCGAGAAATCAAACCTTACGATAGGCCTTACGCAAGGCTTACGTTTCTGTATGTGTTGCTTACGGCGACACATGTATGCATGGCTAGTCTTACGTTGTACTTAGGACAGAGGTATGCAAGTCCACTGTGGTCACATGTTTTATGTTAATGCAAGATACACTTTTCTTTCCATATGCGTTGCTTTAATGCGAACTGTATGGTTTCCTGCTTGTGCTCTTCCATTTCCATGGTTTCAGCTCTGTCAGAACGCAAGCTTCTTCAAATATATTTGGGCCCAGCTGTCATAAAAGTTCAGTGAACACATTTCCGTTAGCCAATGGCATCGCTACTAGGAGCAAGGACACTACTAGGGGCTCCTGGCCTTACTCCTAGAAACAATAAAGCTACTTTAAGGTGTTTTTTAAGGCCACTCCTGACGCAGGAAAGGTGAGTGTAAAAAATGGTCCAACTTGGCTTCTGACAGTGTCCCGGGACTCTCATGGCAGAGACCGCTGCATTGATGAGCAATGCAACTCATTCAAACACCAGCAAGACCCAGTGGCCTAGGTACAAGGCGCTTCTACAAGGCGAAGTTTTGTCAGCTGTGTCAGGTGCTGAGTAAAGTGCTTCCGTTTTGTTTAGCCGTCAAATGGCTGGGTCAGGTGACTCAAACTTGAAACGTGTGCCCTCAATCCACGTCCGTTTCAGGCAAATACAAAGGAAAAGGAAACATAAGGAAACAATAACTGTCACTTAATGACATCAAATCTTGAGTCCTGAGTCGTTTTTTGTTCCCAAATGCGTAGCGAAGGGTTCTCGTTTAACTCTGGGGGTCTGGGGGTAGAGTCTTGTTCGCGACCCGTTGCTTCTATGTTCGCAACCGTCCGCAACCGTTCGCAACCGTTCGCAACCGTCCGCAACCGTCCGCAGTAGGTCGCTAAGGCGCTGCCATTGGGGGAAGCTTTTGCAAGTGACTATGCATGGATGTGTCACGTGTTAGTTTGCGACGCTAGTCCATTGTGATTTGCGTGAAAAGGACATGTCGCGCAAGAAGCGTGATGCATTTCACTGCACAGGCGCAGCGTTTTGTGAGATCCGCAGTTTGCTACGCAGTTCCATTGGGATTAGCGTTTGGACAGTCGTGTTTTTGGGGTCTTGGATGTGCCCGTGCCATTGGGATTTGCGTTTCAGGGTGTGGCATCGAAGCTCTGTTTTCGTGACAAGTCTCAGCTGAAATGCCGATGTTGGAAAGTTGGACCCTGGGAGTGTGCTCAGAACGGGTCGAAATCATTCCAAACGTGTGGTGTGGCGCAAATTTTGTTGAAGCTCACATGAGATGACATTGTTACTTTTCGTGGCAGGCGCAGTACTTTGTGCGGGTTTTGAGGTGTGGAAGTGGAATTTTCGTGGCAGGCGCAGGGAATCGTGAGGTTGCGATGCGTGACGGAGGTGACATTTCGTGGCAGGCGCAGTACTTTGTGCGCGTTTGACGTGTGGACGCGGAAAGATTCGTGGCAGGCGCAGGGATTGTGAGGGTGTGAGTTGTGGTAGAGGTGAATGTCGCTGTCACATTGGGATTGGCGTGTGAGGTGTCGTTTGGAGGGGCTGGAATCGCGAAACTGCTTGGCAGGGCTGCGTGATGTGTGTGCTCCGATGGGTGTTTCCGCTGGACTTTTAGAGGAAGTCTCGTGCGAAACGTTCGTTTCGCAGACTTTGACATGTGAGTTTTTGAGGAAGTCTCGTACGAAACGCTCGTTTTGGGGACTTGTCTCACAAGAGTGTCCCACAAGAGTGTCCCGCAACCATGTCCCACAAGAGTGTCTCACAAGAGTTAAGAGTGTCCCACAAGAGTGTCCTACAAGAGTGTCCCACAAGAGTGCCCTACAAGAGTGTGTCCTACAAGAGTGTCCCACAAGAGTTTCCTACAAGAGTGTCCCACAAGAGTGTCCCACAAGAGTGTCCCACAAGAGT